ATCCATGGTACTCCCCCATCTTCAATACTGCATGCAGTTCTGGTGGCCCTATCTCAAATTGGAATTGGAAAAGATTCAGAAAAGGGCAACAAAAATGATGAGGGGTATGGAACAGCTTCCATATGAGGAGAGATTAATAAGACTGGGACTGTTCAGCTTGGAAAAGAGATGACTAAGCGAGGATATGATAAAGATCTATCTGATCATGACAGGTGTGGAGAAAATAAGGAAGTGTTATTTACTTCTTCCCATAATACAAGAACTAGGAGTCCCCAAATGAAATTAATGGGCAGCAGGTTTAAAACAAACAAAAGGAAGTATTTCTTCACACAACGCACAGTCAACCTGTGGAACTCTTTGCCAGAGTATGTTGTGAAGGCCAAAACTATAACAGGATTGAAAAAGAACTGGATAAATTCATGCAGTACAGGTTTTTACTTAGCAGCTCTGTGTTCTGGGGGAACCAGGGTGCAGTACCCAGCCTGTCTGACTCATGAAAGACAGAAGGCCCCCCAGCCTCTGCTTGAACCAAACCTGCATCAGAAGAAAGACTTACAAAAAGCAATGGAAAGCCAGTGGGAGACATACCTCAACCCCTGTGACAACAATGACAGAATTAAGGAAACTCCCCTAGCATCATTTGCATCGAAGCTGTGACAGGGAGGTATCTCCATTAGCTTACAGAATGGAGAACAGAGATTGCCAGGCAAGAACCACACTGAACTCTGGGACCAGAAAAGCAGGGAAGCAATGCATGATGGGGGATCTCTGCTCCAGATGTTAAGGAGCCCACACCTGCACACACCCAGCTCAGCAGTTATCAGACCAATTCTAGTAATGAATCCTTTATTGGTATCGAAAATAGTGAAATACATTATGAGCTCCCTCCAAGGAACATCGGCCAAAGCCAGGAATGATCAGCTCCCATGTCTAGCTTGAACAAAACAACTTTGGTATTCTCGTATGTTTACACACAAACAAATCTAGTGTTTTCCCTTGAACCATTATTCTTTCTTTACAAAAACCCGGTCCCCCACACCAGTCAGTGTTCTGATGCCTGGATCCAACAGCTGCATCAGTTCCATCTTCTCCTGACTGATCATGCTGGGGGCTCTGCCTGACTCCAGCACTCAGGACCCTGAGCTACCACCATCACCTGGGACCCCTGATTGAGTCAAGCTTCATGGAGCGGTGAGAACCCATCTCTCTCTCTCTCTCTCTCTCGGTGTAGCCTTCTGACCCTGACTTGTGTGATCAGTTATAGTTTTGTAAACCTGACTTTTACAATCAAATTTAAGTTAGATTTAATATTAAATCTGTTTTTTTTTTTGGTTTGCCTCCGCAATGGTTATTTCCTGCCAATAAATAACTTTCATGATTAAACTGGTTGCTTCTCTCTCTCTCTCTCCCCTCCCTCCCCCATGGGTGTTTTTTGGTTTCCTCATTCGTTCTGTAGCAACA